AGACCAAATATTGATATCTCCTGTCATTGATTGACACACTAAGCAGAAGCGAGTGACCGTGATCCAAAAGAAAGAGGTCCGGCGTGTTTTGATATCTTCCCTTGTGAAATTAAAAGAAAATATCAGAGTTGGAGCTCTGATGCTCTTCAAGATGAGCCAATTTATTGTGCAGTCTCATCACTGCACCACTAGACACCAGTCGGGTGAGATGTGAGAGATGATGGTGTCTAAACGGTTCATCTCTGGCTTAATAAGCCTTCATCTGATGATGGAATGCACTGGGGGTAACGAGATGTGCAAGGCCTCCATTAGAGGGGCGTGTCCTCCTACTTGGATCCAGTGGGGTGACAAATGCTACAAAGCCTTCACTGAGCACCTGACATGGTTTGATGCAAAAGATGAGTGCATCTAGATGGGAAGTGTCTTGGTTGTGCCACAGTCTCAGGAGGAAACTGATTTCCTCTTGCACCTGGTACCAGAGACATCCAAGTTTTGGATCAATTGCAATGATCTAGAAGAAGAAGGTTGGTTGAAGTGTTCACTTCATATTCTATTTAAAAAAACCAACAACAACAAAACCTGTTTAAAGGAATTTACATCATTGGCTTTTGCTGTAATTTTCAGAAATGAACTATTTGAGGGGTTAGTGTAATAGATCAAATATTGTTACACTGACATGTTTGAAGTTTTGTGTTCGAAAATGCTGGAAAACCAAGAAAAACAAAAACGTTCAAGTAGTCTGGTTCCTTGACTCCACTAAAGATAAAATGGATCAATATATAGATGCCGGAAAATTGTAAGGTAAGGGAACCAGTCTAGCTGGCTTGCACCCGTTCATAAACATGTAACCAATAGCAAACAAAATTTGGACTGAAAAAGTGTAAAGTTGGAGCAGTAGTTGAAAAATAGTTAGGTTTTCAAACGGTGGTCGGCTGGAAACGTATACAAAAATACCATTTTCTTGAAAATGACTTCACACCAGGTGCCATAATTTTACAGGATGCTTTAGACGGTCATTTACCAACATCCTAGTAAGGTATTTCCTAAAAACTTGGTAGTTTTATTTTTCGATGTTTGCAAATGTTGTATATTCCCTTTAATGTTGATGAAAGAATTGTCAAATCGCAAGATCACTCATGTATCGTTTGATAAACAAAAACAAAAGAATGGCGTGTAGTTTATATGAATGTGACAAAATTGTCATGAATTGAAACTGGATGACCTATGACTGACTTGAAAGGACTTGCGCAGAAAAGCATTCAAACAAACACAAACATTGATTTCTTTGAACAATCGTTTAGCTGAAAACTGTTGTCTTTGATCGACAGGTACTTGGAAGTGTCAGGATGGTACTGACGAGGTGGAGTATAGGAATTGGTGGACTGACAGAGGCCAACCTAGTAACTCGAGGGAGCATGAGCACTGCGCTGAGGTACGTAAGAATGGGAAATGGAATGATTTGCCATGCGACTGGCAACTCAATGCGATATGCATCCGACCTGCACCACAGCTGCACTTGTAAGAACCAGCAATGAACATGCTTGGACCAGTGATTGAAACCTGAACACCATGCAAATAGGGATTCGAGTCTGCATGCTCAAAGCACATAACTCATTCTGGCCAATCCATCTTGGCTTTGTGTAACAATGACCATCAGACTGTGACAAGAATTTAATTTTGATGTTGAAAGCGTATTCCGCTTAGTGCTTAAAAACGGTTAATTGATGTTTGTTTAGAAATCTGTTAAGGATATGTACATGAACATGAAATTTGTCATGAAATAATCAGTACAGATTATTTTATAGTAAAATATGAAAACCTTAAAGAAGAAAAAAGTGCTCGTCAACCAAATTTAATTTGTACATCATGTTACCCTGGAACCAAATCTATTGCAACTGTTATCATGGCACAAATTCCTCTTATTGCCAGAGTTATAGTGTTTATCGCTGTAATCATTCCTTTTTCTCAGATCGGGCATTTTGTATTGTAAATTCATGTTGTCTTCTTAGGCATTATTTCAAAGTAAATTTGAGTATTTTCCTGACGAAATTCTGTCCGAACACTAACTTGTTTTGTTTACACATGTGCTATTATATAATAGAGAGACTGTAAATCCAACATGGCTGCCATTTCAGGTTGGCCTGAGGCCAGAGTTTGTATTGGCCTTGGGCCTTAGTGGAATTCTTCCTGAAGGCAGAGGGGCTTAAACGATGCCTGGTCTCTGTCTTGCAAGCTGATTGGATAGGTTTAGACGACACCTTGATCTCAATTATTTGAGATAAGCCTGAGAATTTACTGGACAGGTTTAGACGATACCTCGATCCACATTATTACTTTACTGTCTGCGACCTCCCCTCATCAGAATTAAGAGTCAGTGGTTTCTTTAACTGGATTATACAATAATTCTAGGATGATCAAGTTCTCACTGGATTGGAACATAGCTTGGATTGTACATTGAGATCGGTTGGAGTGTAAATAAGGCGGGTAAATGGTTGACCTAATCTTATTAATTATTATAAGGCTATTGGAGCTGCGGTTCGGAATAAAATAGGAAGTTTGAGTATTTCGTTCTCGATTCCTGAATTCTCGAAATCATTATCTTAAGTCCCTCCCCTGTTAGTCGTTCCTCCCTTGGTGACTGCGTGATATATTTTGACCCGAACCCACGTCGGCCCTCGCTGAACCGGAGAGGCGAAATTCCGGAGGTTTAGGCCTTAACTATTTACCCTGGTGGCAGCGCTATCGAGGATTCTTGAAAAAGTTTCGGATATTTTTCCCCCTTTCCTCTTATCTCCCTCCCCCTTGCCCCGGTTCTTTTTTTCGCCACAGTATCATACCTGTTTGTGTCAATAATTACATGCATGTAAGTATTGTCAGGTATGATGCCAATTGCAAGTTTAATTATGCAAGGAAGCCAGAAACTGAATAGAATTACATGTATATAAACTCTCGCAAAACAGGACGAAACAAAATGAACGATCTCATGCATATGATGATAATGTGTAATTGTGTTTACTCAAGCGTCAAAAACTGTATCATCAACAAACACACACGATAAAAGAAAAGGACAAAAAGAATTAAAAACGCTCTAATAATCATTTTTGTGATTTCCGGATCCAAAGATAGCTCTTGCTATACTTCGCAGTTAAAATATTTATGAAAACTGCAGTTTAACCGAGTTACAACTTTGAGATGTGGCACTGTCTAACGCTGTTTAATCACACGACGTACACCTCAGTGTTAAGTACTGAAATTGCATAAGTTGTCATCTCGCTTGGCAATATACGACAGTGAAAGATGTTTAGAATATTTTCTTTTTGCTAAAGTGATCTTGCATCTGAAAAAGAAACTGCTTCTGTACAGATTGGCCTGGCTCGATCAAATTGCCAAATCGATGTCTGCCTTGAACTTGTAATGAAACTCTCCGAAAAAACACTGCTAGAGTTATAAATGCGCCATGCTAACCAGGGTCATAACTAAGGTCATGCCACAATAGGGACGCCAACGTGTTTCATTTACAGTCGCTCGAACCACAGAAAGCCTCGGTGTTCTGCTTTACAAGATGTTTACTTGGCGTGCAGCACAGTCACTTCACCAGACATTGGTCGGGTGAGATATGAGAGACGATGGTGTCTCAACGGTGCATCTTTGTCTTGATAAGCCTTCACCTGATGATGGGTTGCACTGGTGTTAACGAGATGTGTAAGGCCTCCATTGGGCATGGATGGGCGTGTCCTCCTACTTGGTTCCAGCGGGGACGCAAATGCTGCAAGGTCACTACTAAGCACATGACAAGGTCGAAGAAAAATGATGAGTGCATCAAGAAGGGAAGTTTCTTGGTCGTACCACAGTCTTGGGAGGAAACTGATTTGCTCATGCGCCTAGTTGCAGAGACATCAACATTTCGGATTCATTGCACTGATCTTGATGCAGAAGGTTGGTTTAAACTTACATTTCAAAAAAATATTACAGAACATTGTCAGGTATGGAAGGATAGAAAATGGCATGATAACTCGTGTTATAGTCATCAACGCTCTGTGATATGCATGCAACATGCCCCACAACTTTACTTTTAAGAAACCAAAATGCTGATTAAAAATGGACGCCTTCCAGTTTACCTAAAAGGGATCCGAACCAGCAACCACAAGAACAAATTACTCATTATGACCGATGTATCGTCCTGTTCTGCACACATTTTGAAAGGACTATGATTTAATACATTGAAGATGCTACTATAGAATTCAAACTCATCACAACAAGAACTCAAAATAATCTTGATCAGACTCAACCAACAATATCCAGTTCAACATCCAGAAACAACATGATGCACTCCTTTCTGAAAACAATGAAACAAAATGGTCACAATGTGTAAATGTTTCATTTAAGGGGGCACCTAATGTGTGATTTTCAGGAAATCCTAAAATATAAAAATCTTAAAAAGTCAAAAAAGCCATTGATTACTCTTACAAATTATTTAGAGTTTAACGGTGACAGAATAACATTATTATTATTATTATTATTTTTTTTTTTTTTAAAGAAGATGACATGTTTTCAGTTTGGCAAAATGTTCTCAATGGCTGTATAGGCCTCATTAGCTGCTTGATGATGAAGTTGACAATTCTCCAATTGACATTAATCTATGTTTGAAGATGGTGATAGTAAATTCGTCGGATCTGATGAAACGATCTCGCCTCGGATTCATAAAGTGGCTCTTTGCAGCTCAGCCTACAATGTAATTGCATCTAATTGCCAAAGTGATGTCTGCCTTGAATTGGTAGTTGCCGAATACACCTATTCATCTTGTAATGAAACTCAGCACGAACCACTGGCAAAACAATCAATGCACCTTGGTAACCATGTGTCAATTTCAATAAACCTAGACTTTCATTGTCATACCACAATATAGGGACTTCCACTGCATTTTAATACAGTCGCTCGGTACACTCAAAAAAGTATAAGTGCAGTCTTATCATTTCACCACTAGACACCAGTAGGGTGAGATGCGAGAGATGATGGTGCCTAAACGGTTCATCTTTGGCTTGATATGCCTTCATCTGATGATGAGCTGCACTGGTGGTAACGAGATGTGTAAGGCCTCCATTGGTGGTCGTAGAGGGGCGTGTCCTCCTACTTGGATCCAGTGGGGTGGCAATTGCTACAAAGCCACCACGGAGCCTCTGACATGGTTTGATGCAAAAGATAAGTGCATCAAGATGGGAGGTGCCTTGGTCGTGCCACAGTCTCAGGAGGAAACTGATTTCCTCGTCCATCTACAGCAATTTGACTTTTGGATCAATTGCAACGATCTAGAAGAAGAAGGTTGGTTAGAATGTACAATTTGGATTTAAAAAAAAATAGCACAATCTGTTTCGTGTTGATGATACGAGTTGTAGTCCAGTCAATTAAGTCAAATCACAAGTCAAATTACAAGCAATGTCACACATGTATCGGGTGATGGACAGAGATAAAGGAATACCATGCGGTTTACATGCAACTGAATAAGTTGTCATAAATTGAGGCTTGATGACTTTTGATCGACTTGTACAAACTTGTGAGAAATAAGGTGTAGAAACATTCAAACAAACGCACACCAATTCTTTTGTAACTTCCCATCCTTATATTCATGTAATGTATTGTCCTTGATCTACAGGTACTTGGAAGTGTCATGGTACTGATGAGGTGGCGTTTAAGAATTGGGAGACTCGTCCGCGGCAACAACCCGATAACTACCAAGGTAGCGAGCACTGCGCTGGAGTATTGTCAACTGGGGAATGGAATGATGTGTCATGTGGTAGCCCGCGCCTTGCGATATGCATCCGATCTACACCACAGCTGCACTTTTAGGAACCCCCAACGAACACAGATTGGTCTAATGTGGATTCGAACCCATAGCCCCTGGAACGAAAACTCGACCTATAAGAAAGGTTGTGATGCACAAAAGACTATTAAAACAATGAAAAAGTATCTGTAAATCATTTCTTGGTCAGAAATACGTGTGAAACCATTTTGACCATGATGTAGATATTTACGAGATAGTGAGAGCTTTGCTCCTTGTTTGTTGTTGAAAGATATTTGCTGATTTTATTGGCTGAAAAGTTATCTTTGAAATAATTAAAATCAAAGTTAGCTTCAGAAAACTATCACGCTAAAATAATAGATTTAGAAAGAAGCTGCAAATGATCTGAAATATCTAAGAGGTAGGAATTCTTCATTTTTTTTATAATTTGAAAAAAAAACCTTTAAAATTGTGTATATACTGAAGCTGCCTTAATATTCTCTGTTAAAAATGATGTTAGGGTAACATTACAGTGCATATCGGAGACATTATACAATTGTTTCCTGTTGTGACAGGGTCCGTTGTGTTGTTCACCCGAGGGGGCAAATGGCACCCAAATGGCACCCAGGGACCCCGTCAAAGCAGGCAACAATTATTTTGTTATACCACGGTAATAAATTACAGCAGTCCAATTCTGTCACTGGTAACGTCTGAAACTGGGGGTCTCTTCTTGTGGCGGTGCAGAATTGGCGAACTATTCGCACAGAATTTTCCGTATTTTTATTCTTGCTGATGATGTCCTGTTCAAAATTCAAATTTCTGATCTCGTCTTTTGGAACAAGAGAGAAACAACTTCTTTGGAGGCGACCTGTTGTCACTCTGTGCCGACTTTATTATGATGAAATTACGGCGAAATTGACATAGTTAAAAAAGGCAGACGAACAGTGACGAACGATGTCAACAACAATGGCGGTCGTAGTAGCAGAAATATTGCTTCACGCTGTCCCGCATGGCACATCACACAAGAACATCAATTTACGTAGTACCAGCGTAGATACAACATCGTACCCGATGAGGTCACAATAAAACGCGGTGAAAACGACACTCTCAACAGCGGGAAAGATCAAGGTAATGTACCCCGTGGGGCACATCACTCATGTACCACTGCTTACATCGCACATGCGTTTTTGTGGCATGTCACGTGATCCACTCTCGACCAATAAACATTCACAATCTATTACTGTGGTATAACAAACGTGTTTGTGCATAACATGTGTAGTGTATGCTTTTAGAGGTTTTAAAAGTATTTTCTACTATTTGAATCATATAAACACATGGCTTATTAACTTATAAATTTTTATGTGGTAAGATAAAGGCCTTGTCATGTAACGTCATCTGCTATTACCGGGGAAGGTACCTACCAATTTAATTACAGAAACCTTGCTCACATAGAAGATAGGACCGGGATCCATGTCAAATTGGCAAATCAAACATCCTGTGAAATTATTCTGCCTGCAATGGTGTCTTTGGTAGAAATCAATCATTGAAGGTTGTTTCAAAACAGGGTGCCCACCAGCAGTATGAGACCGATTTAATTTTACACATGTTGTCTGCTTTAAAAAAAGTATATTGGCTACTGAGCTGAAACTTAAACATGGTCGTTGTTATGCATAAATTTTAAGTTTCGAGTACATAAGTGCGCAAAAAACAAATGAACCTGTTCACCTTTAATTTTGTATCTGACCGTTACTGTACAACTCTATAAGAATGATTGTCACGCGACTTCAGCGTGAATTTCTCGAAATAAATGTCAGCATTTAGGTCCGTCACGTAATAAGTATCATTACTGTATACGTCAATAATTACATATGTACATGTATAAGATCTGATTACGTCCAGGAAGCTTAAAATATTAGAATCATATAAAATGTTGCGTTAACAAATGTACAATTCAGTGTTTAAATACAATGTCTTTATTCTTAACGGCAATAAAAAATCGAGGGCATGTGAATGATCTTTGACATGTTTTTAAAATAAAGCTGGTCATATCAACGTATATTAAATGAAACCATGGATGTATTTTCCTGTTGACATATCAAGTCAGTTGTTCTTTCAACTATAACTTTCCCACTTCTGCAGTTTTAGTTTTTCCTCATCCGAACCTATCTCTTGCTATTGAGGAGTTTAACAAAATAAAAGTGTGTAGCGAAACCGCAGCTCAACCAAACTAATTTTTAGGCTTTTGAAGGGTTGCAAATTCCCCACCGTGAATATCCTATGCACATGACATTATTACATTTCAGGAATACCGAAACTGCATTTAGTTCCCATCTCGCATGGTAATATACCGTTGTATTTCATCCAATTCATCTTTGTATTTCATCCAATTCATCTTATTTTGCTTCAATGATCTCGCAGCTGATAAAGTGGTTATATACAGCGGCGGTTAGCAGCAGCGAACAGCCAATCGATGTCTGCACTGTATAAGATGAATAAGTCAATTAATCATGTAATGAAACTCAATCAGATCTGTCGGAGCTATAACAAATTCTGGTACTCAGGTGTTAATTCTAATCAACTGATGGTTATAAAACAACGACACCCAATGGGCGTTATCACAGTCGCTCGCGCGATACACTCACAGATTAGTATCTGCGTTTTGCCTTACAAGATGATTACTTGGGAGGTGCAGTCTGATCATTTCAACACTAGACACCAGTCGGGTGAGATGTGAGAGATGATGGTGTCTCAACGGTTCATATTTGGCTTGATAAGCCTTCATCTGATGATGGGTTGCACTGGTGGTAACGAGATGTGTAAGGCCTCCATTGGGCATGGATGGGCGTGTCCTCCTACGTGGTACCAGTGGGGACGCAAATGCTACAAAGCCATGATCACTGAGCGCATGACATGGTCCGAGGCAAAAGAGGAGTGCATCAAGAAGGGAAGCGTCTTGGTCGTGCCACATTCTCATGAAGAAACGGATTTCCTAATGCGCCTAGTGCCAGAGAATTCCAAGATTTGGATTAATTGCAATGATCTTGAGGAAGAAGGTTGGTTGAATTTCAAATTGTACAAAATTTCAAAGCATTAACAATAAATATTTTAAGTTGGTCGTTTTGAAGAATCTTTGTTTGATAATTCCCATTCGCAATGCCGTGTCTATTTAACCTTGTATCGTTTTGACAGGTACTTGGAAGTGTCAGGACGGTACTGATGAGGAAGAGTACAGGAATTGGTCGCAAGGAGAGCCTGATAACTTGCGAGGTAAAGAGCACTGTGCCATGATATTGCCACATAAGAAATGGAATGATGCACCGTGTACGTGGAAACGCCCTGCGATATGCATCCAACCTACACCACAACTGCACTTTTAAAAATCAAGTGTAAATTGTAAACACGGGATTGATGATTATCATCATAAGGTGATAGGCATTCCAGAATCACAGAACCAATAACTGTACAGTGATTATTTAGTAAACATGAATATGTACATCATGGGTTTACCAAGATCGAACCCGCTGACACAAACACTTAAACTCATTCAGGAAACTCTGTTCTGCCCTGTTCAAATGACTCTGAACAAAGTTATGCACAGATTGATTATATGCCAACAACAGGATTCGAACCCGTAACCAAAACATCCTACGTACATTCGGACAACACTACCAAACATTCCAAGGACAAGATGAGGACCAAGACACATCCAAAGTGGTAAAAATTAAAAGGAATGTGTCATATTTAGGAATGCACCTTACGTGTAGATTTTAACGGATCTTCAAAATCCAAATTAGGAAACTTGAAAATGTCTTCAATAGGAACGTTGTGTACTCTGTTTAAAGTTATTTAAAGTTATTCATCCAAAGTGGTAAAAATTAAAAGGAATGTGTCATATTTAGGAATGCACCTTACGTGTAGATTTTAACGGATCTTCAAAATCCAAATAAGGAAACTTGAAAATGTCTTCAATAGGAACGTTGTGTACTCTGTTTAAAGTTATTCAAAGTTATTCATCCAAAGTGGTAAAAATTAAAAGGAATGTGTCATATTTAGGAATGCACCTGACGTGTAGATTAACGGATCTTCAAAATCCAAATTAGGAAATTGAAAATGTCATTAGAATATTATTCACTCTGTTTAAAGTTATTTCGAGTTCAATGTTAACAGAATTATGTATATTTGATGGAAATAAATTGTTTTTATTTTGGCAAATTTTCTCAATTAACTCAGCACTGACTACAATTGATCGGCTATGTTAATAGTATGCAGTTTTAAGTCAATAATTGTGGATATGTGTCTGGCCATGTGTAGAACTGCGTTAACTTTTGTTTATTTGAAAGGCCTGAAATTTGTCAAAGAATAAATCTGCACAGAATGTCATCTTTACATACAGGGTGAGTAAAATGTCGGAACTATTGTGTTAGTGAAGTTCTGCATGTAGCACTTTCAAAATCTACGATATAAAGCCAAATTTATAAGCTTTCTTTTAGTACAAGAATCACTCAAATCACTAATGCACTTTTCAAGTTACGGAATTTTAAATAACCACCGTTTTAAAGTTCTGTCCACGGATCACAAAAAAAGGTGTGCGTTCTTTCAGCAAAACGAAAACAATTCACACACATCCCTGCGTGATTTGTTTTCGTTTTGCTGAAAGAACACTAACTTTTTGTGTGGTTCGTGGACAGAAGTTTAAAACGGTGGTTGAAATTAAAATTACGTAACTTGAAAATTTCAGACTGATATGAATGATTTTTGTGCTATAAGAAAACAATGGTTTCGACATTTGGGTTTCGTTTTTTTTTTACTCACCTTGTATAATGAAAACCTTAAGGACAAAAGTGTTCGTCAAAATATATCTTATTTTATCGTATGTATTCTATACGTGAATATTCAAATTATAACATATAGATCTGATGATGGCCAAGCAGCTTTAAACGATAGCATTATAAAAACTCTTGTATGTCTAATTATTGGCAATTCGGTAGTGAAATAAAAATCAATGAATTTACACTACAGTGAAACCATCAATGTGTTATCCTTTTGAGATATCCAGTTTTTTCCTCGTCCGAAGATAGTTCTTGTTACTTGGGATTTTATTTAAAATATATATATATATATAAGTATTTGATGAAACTGCAGCCAAACTTAAATGATTTCCAGACTTTCGAAGGGTGGCACACGCCCCCACCCAAGAATCATCAGTGTACACACCACATTCTTACATCTCATGATTTAATACTGAAACTGCACAAGGCGCCATCTCGCTCAGCAATATACCCCAGTGTTGGATATTTTGAATAGGGTTTTAATTGAATTTCACCGTTTTGCGTCGGTGATCTCACATCAGATGTAGTGGTTCTATACAGCATGGCCTACTTGTAGAGATTTGCCAAAATCAATGCCCGACTTGAATAGTCTATTCATTTTGTATGAAATTGGCAAATCGATATCTGCCTACAATTATTAGTTTTCAATGAATGCCTCTACATTCATCTTATAAATAAACTAAGTAAATTCCACTGGCAGAATTACACTGCACCTTGGTAACCAATTGTCAATTTTAATAAAGTAAGACTTTCATGGTCATACGACAATAGGTCCTTCCAAATGGCTTTATTAAAGCCGCTCAATAAATTCTTAAACACATATCTTCTTTTTGCCTAACAAAATAATTACTAGACACAAATGCAGTCTGATCATTTCACCACTAGACATCAGTCGGGTGAGATGTGAGAGATGATGGTGTCTAAAGGGTTCATCTTTGGCTTGATAAGCCTTCATCTGATGATGGGCTGCACTGGTGGTAACGAAATGTGTAAGGCCTCAATCGGTGGTCGTAGAGGGGCGTGTCACCCTTCTTGGATCCAGTGGGGTGGCAAATGCTACAAAGCCATCACCGAGAGCCTGACATAGTTTGAGGCTAAAGAGAGGTGCATCAAGATGGGAAGTGTCTTGGTCGTGCCACAGTCTCAGGAGGAAACCGATTTCCTCATGCTTCTAATACCAGAGACATCCAAGTTTTGGATCAATTGCAATGATCTTGAGGAAGAGGGTTGGTTGCATTTAAAATTTTACATTTCAATACATTAATGTTTAAACATTGTAAGTTGTTCGTTTTGAACAATCATTGTTTATTTTATTTGTTTATTTAATCCTTGTATTGTTTTTTTTACAGGTATTTGGAAGTGTCAGGATGGTAATGATGAGGTGGTGTACAGGAATTGGTCGCCAGGGGAACCTATTTACATGAGAGGTAACGAGCACTGTGCCGTGGTATCGCCAGAAAGACATGGAATCATATACCGTGTAATTGGCAACGCTCTGCGATATGCGTTCTACCTGCACCACAACTGCACTTTTAAAAATCTAGTGTACTAACACAGATTTATGATTGTCATAGGGTGATATGCAATCAATTCCAGAATACATCTACATGTACATAGCTGTGCTTCGGGGATCCTACCTGATATGTGTCATTCCTTAAGATCTCAATCGCATCGCAGAACCGATAACAGCGATATGGAGTATACGTCTTGCGAGTACCGAGTTCGAACCCGCTGACACAGGAACTCATTCGGACTGGGTGTTCTGCCCTGGTCCTATGACTCTGATAAAAATATGAACAGATTGATTTTGCCAATAACAGGATTTGAACCCGTAACCAGAACATCTCACATACATCCTGACCACACCAAACATTCCAAGGACAAGATGAAGCTCAAGACACATCCAACTAAACTCCATTCAACAATGAAATAAAATACGAAATGTTCACAGTTAAAAGGAATGCCTAAATATTCCATATTTAGGAATGCATCTGTTGTGTAGATTAAAAAATGAACCTCATGAAAATGTTTAAGAGTATTGCTTACTCTGTTTAAAATTATATAAAGCTCAATGTTAACAGAATTATATTCATTTTATGGAAATAAATGTTTTTATTTTGGCAAAATGTTCTTAATGAATAGCTGCAGAAACACAGATGATGAAGCTGGCAACTCTTCAACAGTGACTACAATTGATATTCAGCTATGTTAATTACAATGTAGTTTTAAGGTGAAATAATTGTGGACAGGAGTCCGTTCATGTGTAGAAATGCTTTAACTTATGTTCATCTGAAATTTGTCAAGGCATGAATCTGTACAGAAACTGTTATAACATATCATGAAAACCTTAAAAAGGAACAAAAGTGCTCGTCAATGTCAACATGGAACTAAAATATAAACAATGTACAATAGTGTGTACGTTTTTACGTGTATATGCCAATAACAATTATGTATGTAAGATCTGAAAATTTCCATGAAGCTTAAAATGACAACATTATAAAAACTCGTTTGACGAATATATTGGCAATTCGGTAGTGAAATAAAACGTATGAAATCGTAACGGAAATAAAGTTTAAAGCAATTGAATGATCTTTGAGGTGTCTTTAAAATTAAGCTTTCAAAGTGTGGATTCGTAATTCCGAATCCACACTTTACTAAAGATTCTTCGTTCCGAATCCAAACTTTGTGACCAGTGTAAGAGATTCGTAGATCCGAATCCACACTTTTAACAATAGTGTGACGTCACAGCAATGGTTTAATTAAAATTAAGCTACGTCATGTATTTGAATTTACACAAGAGTGAAATCATGGATGTCTCATCCTTTTGACACATCACGTTTTTTCCTCAATGGAAAATAGTTCCTGCTACTTGGGATTCAAGTATTTGGTGAAACTGCAGCCCAACTAAACTGATTTCCAGACTTTGGAAGGATGGCACACGCCCCCACCCAAGAATCTTCAGTGTATGTTTAGCACTGCTTAACGACGTTATTACATTCTTACATCTCATGATTTAATACTGAAAATGCACAAGGCGATATCTCGCTCAGCAATATACCACAAGTGTTAGATATTTTGAATAGGGTTTTAATTGAATTTCCTTTTTTTGCGTCGGTGATCTCACATCAGATGTAGTGGTTCTATACAGCATGGCCTACTTGTAAAGATTTGCCAAAATCAATGTCTGACTTGAATACGTCTATTCATTTTGTATGAAATTGGAAAATCGATATCTGCCTACAATAATATTAGTTTTCAATGAATGCGTCTACATTCATCTTATAATTAAATTAAGCAAATACCACTGGCAGAATTACACTGCACCTTGGTAACCAATTGTCAATTTTAATACACTAAGACTTTCATGGCCGAACAACAATAGGTCCTTCAAACGGCTTTATTAAAGCCGCTCAATAAATTCACAAACAAAATATCTGCGTTTTGCCTAACAAAATAATTACTAGACACAAATGCAGTCTGATCATTTCACCACTAGACATCAGTCGGGTGAGATGTGACAGATGATGGTGTCTAAACGGTTCATCTTTGGCTTGATAAGCCTTCATATGATGATGGGTTGCACTGGTGGTAACGAAATGTGTAAGGCCTCAATCGGTGGTCGTAGAGGGGCGTGTCACCCTTCTTGGATCCAGTGGGGTGGCAAATGCTACAAAGCCATCACCGAGAGCCTGACATGGTTTGAGGCTAAAGAGAGGTGCCTCAAGATGGGAAATTTCTTGGTCGTGCCACAGTCTCAGGAGGAAACCGATTTCCTCATGCTTCTAGTACCAGAGACATCCAAGTTTTGGATCAATTGCAATGATCTTGAAGAAGAAGGTTGGTTAAAATTTTCAGTTTAGATTCTGCTTCAAAAAATAGTACAACCTGTTTACTTTTGATAATAACAGTTGTAAGCAAGCCAATAACAAGTTCAATCGCAAGTCAAATAACAAGTAAAGTCATACATGTATCAGGTGATGGCCTACCCAAAGGAATGCTGTGCAGTTTGCATGTATGTGAATACAGTATCATATAGCTTGAGACTGGATGACTTATAATTTGACTTCAGTTGAAAGGGCTTGCAAGTAATTGGAAGACAGGAAAACATTTAGTCAAATACAAACATTGATTTCTTTTAAAATTATTGTATTGCTTTCCACTGTTGTATTTATGTTATGTACTACCATTGATCTACAGGTAATTGGAAGTGCCTGGATGGTACTAACGAGGTTGAGTACAGGAATTGGCTACCTGTCGGAGGCCAACCTGATAACACGGGAGGTAATGAGCACTGCGCTCAGGTACATCCAAATGGGAAATGGAATGATTTGCCATGTGGTAGAAAACTCCCTGCCATATGCATGCAACCTGCACCACAGCTGCACTTTTAAAGGTAATATACACTCTTAGAAAAAAGTACCCAATGTTGCGTAAAATTGTACTCTTTGTGGTGGTAAAAAGGGAACATGGTCGTTGGCGGGGTAAAACGCCACGCAACAGGGGTTGCGTCAAATTTTACTCAATTCCTGCGTAAAACGTTTACCCAACATCGAGTCAAAATTCTTACCCAATGCATGGTGTTGCGTCAGAATTGTACCCAACAAATGATCACCCTTTCTTTTGACCCCCAGGGGCAGGGGGTGGAGGGTTGGGGGCTCTGTCAACCTTTCTGCATATTTTATCAACCATTTCCCTCACCTGACCCCCAAACATGGATGCTCTGCTAACAAATAGTGCTGTCATGCAGGCCAAGAGACTGACCGTGTTTGAGTGTTGGAAATGTCATGTACATTTTGTACACGTACGATACACACAACACACATCGCGACATTGCAATTCAATCATCGACTATTTGTCACAAAAATCCAATGCTGTATGTACCTCATACTGCCCACGTTTTCTTAGTGACGTATTTTATTAATCAGTGCATCCTGAAAAGTAAATGATTACTTCTAAATAAAGGTATCGGCGATTTTGACAACATCTTTAGGCCACATTTGGGCAATCTTTACTCATTAGGAGGTAATATTTACCCATCTGAGAGCACATATGCCTGTTTTGTTGTACGTTGCGAGGTCAAATGTGCTTTCTTACACTACGTTGTTTACAATTTGAATTTTTCCGGTTGCACAATCAAAGGGTCAAATTTCCCTTTTGAAGGGTACTGGCAAAATTGTGACTTCAACTTTAATTGGGTAATAAGGTATATATACTCAATGTTTGTACGCAAAACAGTTTACTCAGCAAGTTTTAACACTTCTTTTTTAGAGTGTACAGCATTTGATTTTCGTGTCATTTTCAAAAACGGATGGATGTTGGTTTAAACAAGTCAGGTGTGTTTACAAACACAAATGCCCCGCAACCGTGACTGTTTCCATGACATAACACCACTCTAACATCAACTTACATGTACCTTGGTCAAATGGAACGTTCATTGACAGCATTAGTGTCTTCTGTAGGTTTTATATGAATTAATCCCTAATCCCTATGATCTCAGAATAAATACAAGATTTCTATTGTTTTAGCCACTGTGACCTTGACCCTTGACCTTTTGACCCCCAATGCGATAGGCTTCTTAGGATTGCCAAGGACAATCCACAAACCAAATTTGAAATTCAAATGTAAAGTATTTCTCAAGTTATCACGCTGACAAAATTTCTATTGTTTCAGCCACTGTGACCTTGACCCTTGCCCTTTTGGCCCCAAATGCAAAAGGCTTCTTAGAATTGCCAAGGACAATCCACAAACCAAATTTGAAGTTCATATGTAAAGTATTTCTCAAGTTATCGCGCTGACAAAATTTCTATTGTTTCAGCCACTGTGACCTTGACCCTTGACCTTTCGGCCCCAAATGCAAAAGGCTTCTTAGGATTACCAAGGACAATCCACAAACCAAATTTGAAGTTCATATGTAAAGTATTTCTCAAGTTATCGCGCTGACAAAATTTCTATTGTTTCAGCCACTGTGACCTTGACCCTTGACCTTTCGGCCCCAAATGCAAAAGGCTTCTTAGGATTACCAAGGACAATCCACAAACCAAATTTGAAGTTCATATGTAAAGTATTTCTCAAGTTATCGCGCTGACAAAATTTCTATTGTTTCAGCCACTGTGACCTTGACCCTTGACCTTTTGGCCCCAAATGCAAAAGGCTTCTTAGAATTGCCAAGGACAATCCACAAACCAAATTTGAAGTTCATATGTAAAGTATTTCTCAAGTTATCGCGCTGACAAAATTTCTATTGTTTCAGCCACTGTGACCTTGACCCTTGACCTTTCGGCCCCAAATGCAAAAGGCTTCTTAGGATTACCAAGGACAATCCACAAACCAAATTTGAAGTTCATATGTAAAGTATTTCTCAAGTTATCGCGCTGACAAGATTTGTCCGGACACACACACCCACACACACACCCACCCACCCACCCACCCACCCACCCACCCACGGAAGGACAAGGCGGAAACAGTATGCCCCTTCGGCTTCGCCGCGGGGCATAAAAAGTGGACAAACTAAACTTGGTAAATCGGGGGCAGTGTTAAAAAAAAATACCAACGATGGTGGGCTGACCATCGTTGGAAATTGATACAAAAATTCCTACTTTCTTGAAATGACAGCACACCAGGTACCATGATTTCAAAGGGTTCTTGAGACTATTATTCACAAGTAAGGTATTTCGTATTTATTATTTAGTAGTTTTATTTTGATGTTTGCAAATGCCCTACATCCTTTAAGAACCCATAGTAAACATGCACGGGGATTCAACCCACAACCACTAAAACCCAAAACTAATTTTGACAAATGTATCTTGCCTTTGTCAAGACACATGTAAAAAGGACTGCGGAACAAAATTTATAAGCATTTTGATGTACATTGTGCTAATGTAAGTGTACTGAAGAAACTTGCTTAAAAATGTTCGTTGCAAATGTATTAAGGAATTATATTTATATGTAGGGCCAACTTGAAAAAAAAATCAGGAGTTAAAAATAAACATGTTACTCTACACAAATAATGGTCTAACCTTAAATACTTTTATCCTGGCTAAAATTGGTATTGAAGTTAATAATTTCGAAATGCCCATGAGAAATTTATCAAAGTATGAAGTAAGCTGACTTAACATAAGATGATGGAAAGTGTTTGTAATATATCCATGTATATTCATGTGTATATGTAATATATTTAGTGCAATTTATGTATAGTTTTAGTGCATGTGAAAAAAAAGGCCTGATGTTACTTAAGAATGCGCTGCACAGAAATTTGAATCGTGACAAATGAAAACCTAAGATGTGGAAAAAGTTCTTCAACCATTCCTTTTCAAATATAAAGTAACAGATAAAACCATGCAACTGAATTTGTATAGCTAATGATGTAAAGTTACTTAGAAATAGAAATGTGCACTCAATGCACTACACAATTGAAGTAAATGAAATTGTTAGTAATCAAATTGTGGAATGAAAATATTATAGTTATTAATAATATATTAGTAAGCATCTAGAACTTTGACGTGGTAAAATAGATTTCTGTGTGTGGAAATTTAATAAAGTGGTACTATGTGAAATGGACATTGTCTGCAATTTGTTTCTAATCATTATGACCTGCTATTTTGAAAGGTTTCAGATCAGAGACATTCCATGTATGTCTCTTTCTATTAAACATGTCAGAGAGCTTCTAGGATATCCATGTATGTCTCTTTCTATTAAACATGTCAGAGAGCTTCTAGGATATTTGATAGTGATTTGTAGAAATGGATGTTACAGAGGTTCAACTCAACTTGGCAAAGTTACAATCCACATCCATGACCATGCATATGAACTCAATACAGCGCATACGTCCAATTATCTTCAAATTATTTGCATTTCGTTACCACAATGTCAATTCTCGTAATTTGAGACATCTTGTTGTTACAAAAATGGATGGGAATAGCAGTCAAAATGGTTGTTTTTATTACCTCTGATCAATTAACTGCACCAGTTCATATTGCCCATGATACAAAGGCCGAGCTTCGAACGTGTCTGTGTATCTTCACTTGCGTAATTAAAAGAAAATATCAGAGGCAGAACTCTTATTCACTGTCATTCAATGCAAACCACAAATCACTTCTCATAATTTTAGATTTCCTACTGTTAAAAAAAAATTGGCACACAAGTCACCAAGGTAGTTTTTATTACCTCTGATCAATATGCTGCACCATGTCATACTGTCGATGATAAAAAGGCCGAGCTTCCAACATGTTTTTGATATCTTCACTTTTGTTATTGAAAAAAAAAATCAAAGGTATAAAACTCTTCACAAAACTACGCAACGTTAAATGCAGTCAACTCAGTGTTTTTATAACTTCTGATCAATATACTGCACCGGTTCATATTGTCCATGATACAAAGACCTAGCTATAAATCGACTCAACGTAAAATTCAGTCACTTCATTTCTGTACCAGACACCAGGTGAGTAAGGTCTGTGAAAAGATGGTGTCTAATAAATGGTTCATCTTTGGCTTAAAGGTATAGTCCATCATTTGTAATTTGTGCATTTTGTTCGTTTGAAGCAACAAAAGTACTCAAGATCTAAAGAAGGGTGCTAAACAACTAACCTGATGCAGTTCCAGCTCAGCTTTAGCTGTATATTCCGAGAAAAACAGCATTCTAAGATCTCAATTTCAAATCAAAAGTTGCTGAATCATGTTTTGAATTGTTTTGAATTGCAACTATACGCGACGTCGCGCACTGATCCGACGAATTATAACAACCGCGCGCGCGTGTGCGTCGTTCGAATACTTGTGCGCGCTTCGCTGAATAACAAAACGAACTACTAATTTAAATTTTCCTACGGTGCTTCTTAAGAATCACCGTTGGAAATGCCTTCTTTCGTTGATTACTTCAAAATGACAGCTTCCCAGAAAGAATAATTTCACAGGGAGTTTAGTCTCCTTACTATCTTTCAACCAAGTTAGTTTTTCAACAATAATTACGCCAGTTACTTTTCGGATGGCTGCAAATGATGGACTCTACCTTTAAAAGAAAATATCAGAGGCAGAACTCTTATTCACTGTCATTCAATGCAAACCACAAATCACTACTGTTATCAGTTTCCTACAGTTAAAAAAAAATGGAACACAAGTCACCAAGGTTGTTTTTATTACCTCTGATCAATATGCTGCACCATGTCATACTGTCGATGATAAAAAGGCCGAGCTTCCAACATGTTTTTGATATCTTCACTTTTGTTATTGAAAAAAAAAATCAAAGGTATAAAACTCTTCACAAAACTACGCAACGTTAAATGCAGTCAACTCAGTGTTTTTATAACCTCTGATCAATATACTGCACCGGTTCATATTGTCCATGATACAAAGACCGAGCTATAAATCGACTCAACGTAAAATTCAGTCATTTCATCTCTGTACCAGACACCAGGTGAGTAAGGTCTGTGAAAAGATGGTGTCTAATAAATGGTTCATCTTTGGCTTGATAAGCCTTCATCTGATGGGTTGCACTGGTGGTAACGAGATGTGTAAGGACTCCATTAGAGGGGAGTGTCCTTCTACTTGGATTCGGAGGAGTAACACATGCTACAGAGCCATACATGGAGGCCTCACATGGTTCGAGGCGAAGGATAAGTGCATAAAGATGGGAAGTGTCTTAGTCGTGCCACTCTCTCAAGAGGAAACTCATTTCCTCATGCATCTGGTGCCAGAGACACAATTTTGGATCAATTGCAATGATCTTGAGCAAGAAGGTTGGTCACCGTTGAATCATTCAGTCTGTGTTCTTTCTTTACTTAAAAAAAGGAGCACAACTTATTACATATTGAATAATATAACATCAGCTGTTGTCAAATCAAAAAGTCACAAACGTATCGGATGATTGGAAAAAACAAAGAAAATTGTATTTCGATAACTTGGTCATTAATAGAGCCTGGATGAAGTATGATCAACTTGCTGAAAATATAAAGAACATTGGAAATAACAGTACGTGCAAACTTACAGAACAATGTTCTGTTTTGATTTTGCATTTCTTCTCATTTTTCACTTTGTATTTATGTATTGTATCCTGTCTTTTTTTTTTAAATTATAATACAGGTACTTGGAAGTGTCATGGTACCGATGAGATGGAGTACACGAATTGGCAGACTGATGTGCGTCAGCCTGATAACTACCTAGGTAATGAGCACTGTGCACATGTACAGCCAACTGGGAAATGGAATGATTTGCCATGTAATTGCCAACGCTCTGCAATATGCATCCGACCTGCACCACAGCTGCACTTTTAAGAATCCACAATGAACACAGATTGGTTTCGAACCCGTAACCTTTGAAACTTGATCACACTATATGTACACGATGTAAAAGCCCTCAAATGAAAAGCCAATAATTCTGAGGTTTTTTTAAATTAAAGATAGAGGAACTCGCTACTTATCATGGGTCCTACACATATCCATGAGCTGTCTGCACAATTCTGTACAAAATATTTAACTAAACTCTTATCCCAGCATCAGTCTAACTTCCCAAGAATATTTCAGTAGTCAATTTGAACGCTTCCCTCTGGCCAACGGTATTACACGTGTACTGTGAAAATTAACCATTATACTAGTACGAGACGTGTACATGCACACAGACAGCCTCGAGAGATCATTGCACATAACATCATTTTACGTAAAATCAGTGGACACAGGCATTATGCCCACATATAAAGTTATACTTGTGAATAAGGGCTTAATTACTTCACAATACTGGAGACTCAACAGTCAGCCCAAATGTGGCGGTCAACAACACTAGAGACTCAACAGTCATCCCAAATGTGGCAGTCATCTCAAATGTGGCGGTCAACAAATATTTGGTCAAGAGACAATATACCAGCCAGCAAAATAACCCGCCATGCTTGCAAGGATCCTTCGTTAAGTCACGTAATCGAATAGCTCTGCGATTTGCATCCGATCTGCACCACAGCTGCATTTTAAAAACTGCAGTGAAAACACGGATTGATGATTGTCATCATAAGGTGTAAGGCAATCAATTCCAGTATACGTCTACATATCTGTGCATTGTGAATCAAGGATTCAATCCCATCACAGAACCGATAGCAATGATAAGGAGTACATGTATACATCTTGGAGTACATAGCAGGATTCGAACCAACTGCCGTAATAACTTAAACTTATTCAGACAACTATATTTTGATTGTGAAAACTTGAACAGACTGATTTTTTTTTCCATTTGCAGGATTCGAACCCGTAACCAGATGAACTCGCACTTCTCCTAACCACATTACCAAACATAATTCCTAGTACAAGTTCAGGCCCAATTAAGGCACATCCAAATAAACTCTATTCAAACAATGAGACAAAATTTTCATTCATAAAAGGAATTTGCAAATATTTTAATTAGGAATGTAGCTAATAATTTATGTGGTTTGTAGCAGATATCAAAATCCGAAATTCCGATAAGTCGAAAGATGTATTGCATACTATTATTAGAAGTTACTTAGAATTCAGGGTTAAGAGAATTGCAATCATTTATCGTAGAAAATAAAACGTTTTTATTCTTGCAAAATTATCCCAATGGCTGTACAGACCAAATTATACGTCAGGAAGCTTAAAAATAGTAACATTTTGTGAAACCATTCGGTTGGCAATTTGATGTTGAAATAAAGCACTTGGCGCATTAATCTTGGGGAAAATTCTTATAAATGTTTTCTACTTTTTAACATGTAGGCCTAGGCCTACGTTTAATCATGATGCTTAACTGTGCTTATACAATAGTGAACCCATTGATGCCTTTTTCTAGTTCATTGGAAAGGTTTCCTCTTCCACTTTACGCAGTGTTTGTGTTTCCTCATCGAAAGCAAGCTATGGATTCTGGGGAGTTTAACAGAAGATTGTTTTTTGGGGCAACTGCAGTTTGACTTGGGCTGATTATAAGGTTTTCAAAAGGCGTCGCGCGCGCCCCTAGCCATGAATCTCAAGTGCGCACATTTTAACGTTGTAATTATGAACTCATAGAACGTTACATCTCAGCTATGGGTTTTGAAACTGCACAAGTTGCCATCTCGCTTGGCAATATGCCAAGGTGAATAAAAAGTTAATTAAGTTTCACTTTTGGCGTCACGGATCTCGCATTAAATGAAGTGGTTGTTTACAGCGTGGCTGACTTGCATCATTTGCCAAATCGATATCTGCCTGGAACTCGTATTCACCGTAATGAAACTTGATGAAAACCACTGGCATAAGAATAATGCATCTTGGCAACTAGGTGTCAATTCTAATAAATAAGAATTTCATGGTCATACTACAATAGGGACATCCAACGGGTTTAATTACAGTCGCTAAGATATATTAAAAAAAAAAAAAAAAATCGCCGTATTGCTTTACAAGTGAATGATTGCTCGAGGTGTAGTCCGATCATTTCACCACTGGACTCCAGTAGAGTGAGATGAGAGAGACGATGGTGTCTAAATGGTTCATCTTTGGCTTGATAAGCCTTCATCTGATGGGTTGCGCTGGTGGTAACGAGATGTGTAAGGCATCCATTGGACATGGATGGGCGTGTCCTCCTACTTGGTACCAGTGGGGACGCAAATGCTACAAAGCCATGATCACTGAGCCCATGACATGGTTTGAGGCAAAAGAGGAGTGCATCAAGATGGGAAGTGTCTTGGTCGTGCCACTGTCTCAGGAGGAAACTGATTTCCTCATGCTCCTAGTGCCAGAGTCATCCAGTATTTGGATCAATTGCAATGATCTCGAGAAAGAAGGTTCGTTGGAATTCGAAACTCAAGTTGGGTTGGATGATGTTAGTTATTTCAGAAGATGTATTTCTGTAATATCCACCTCGACCCCGTAGTTAATTTAAAATTACGTGGTTTTTTTTACAGGTACTTGGAAGTGTCAGGATGGTACTGACGAGGTGGAGTTGAGGACTTGGCCGACTAAGGGGCGTCAACCTAGCAACTCTGGAGGAGATGAGCACTGCGCTGAGATACGGCCAAATGGGATATGGAACGATAACCAGTGTACTAGGAAACGTCCTGCGATATGCATTCATCCTGCACCACAGCTGCACGAAGAAGCAACAGTGTTTGTTGGCTGTCAACAAGATATGGACACGCTGCAATAAACCTCAAGAATGCAATGCTTATTCTGTCAAATGTATATAGAAATTGAAAGTCACCAACACCAGACTCTAGCAAGAGGATGAACACAGTGGTCTTTTTCTTCCCAGCGATGCAGGCGATAACACTGATTGTAGCGGTTATTACCCTAGAAAGCTTCTTCCACACCCGGGCTGGATTCCCCAATTTTGTGAGGTAAAGAGCGGTGTGGGAGTAGCTAATAAGTATGAGGTTGATTGCTTTGTCCACACCATCCGCTTATTTGACTGCAAGCGTGCTGACTGGATAATGTCGTATAAAGGAAATGACGAAACCCCAACGAGGCATCTTCGATTTGATGCTAAAACCTTGATTGGAATCTCCTCCAGTCAGCCGTCTCAGCTGATTGAATGGAACGCTTTCAACGGTTCAAGTCGACATGTCCTGAGGGGCCAGACGGGAGAAATAGTGGATCTGTCACTGAGAAGTCATCTTGCTGCCAGTGCCACCGACTCCTTGCGGTTGTGGGATGTTGACAAGGGCGTGTGTCTGCACATCTTTGAGCCTTCCTTGGAATTCAGTATGTGCCTTCTGGTGGGAGAGCGCCTTCTCGGTGGGTTTCAGAACACTCTCTCTGCTTGGGATGTAGTATCCAAGCATCATCTGTTCACCATCACAGACTGTCAACTGAGTTTGGTGTTTAATGACTCCATTGTCGCTTGCTGGTATGGTAATCCTCGCGTATGGAAGCACAATGGTGATCTCATCAACACCTTCCCCATATTCCAGGATATATCCGGGGATATATCCGGGAATATATATGAAGGGCATGTTGGAGGCACAAGGATGGCCGTTAGTCAGTGCCGATTCAAAGGATTTAAAATGTTTACTACGGGAGAAAAACCAGTCAGCGTCCATTAATACTGTTTCAAGGAACCAAAGGCACTCGGCAAATACTATGGATGGATGATACCAAACTAGTGGTTGCTCTAGTTTGGTATGGATGATACCAAACTAGTGGTTGCTCTTCAGGACAAAGTTGAAATTTTTCACTTCTGGTGATCACGTTCAAATTGGTTTACGACTTCCTACCAAAATATTTTAGAGTGAATATTCGGAATACTTTTAATAACTTTTCTGGTATTTCAAATTAAAACATTTTTATAGTGAGCGAAATAGTAAGGTAACATAGACACTTTAGTTTTTCAGTTACTGTGGCTGTTGCTGTTACACTTTGCCTGCTCAATTCTCTACATTTTGTGTTTCCCTTGGTTCATTACAGGCAGTGAATGGACACATTTCAACAAACTTTTGTCAGAAACTAAATTTCATTCTTAAAATTTGTCTTGTATAGAATAAAATCCTTAACCGCCAAGAGAGTGGCTGTTTTTTTCTCATCGTTTAAAATTTATTTTGCACAGAAAAAAATCCTTAACCACAATGGGAGTCTCTGCCTAAATCATACTGAAAATAGTGACCTTGGGTATAAAATAAAACACCTCATGGTCATTACACAAATAGGTGCACTTTAAAGGTATAAAAACAAAACAAAAAGAAATTAAATTTAATTCAGTTTGGAGAAATGGATATACATTTGTAAATCTGTTTCTAATGTGCTAAACCGTTAGCAATTTTTTTTACACACCTTTTCAACGTTTCTCCAACACTTCACAACTTGGGCTGCTGCTGCCTGCCCCAGTAACTATCGCAAATTGGGAGCAAATAACCTGGTCCTGCAGCAGATACAAACCACAATCAATACAAAATCATGTACGTTTATATTGGTGCTCACCAGGAATATTCCAGCAGAATTTTCGGCCTGACTATAGGCCGGTTTGAATGTGGAATTTTCTGCATTCAAACCGCCAGTCCAACTCCCAGCTCCGATGAAGGCCTTCAGGCCTGACCAAAAATTCAGCTAGAATATTTCTGGTGAGCACTGCTTTAACTTATTTTCATCCTATTAATACTTATCTTCCTTCAGGGCTTCGCATTTCTGTTTGATTTTGTATGTTTACATTGTGTACATTAACAATTTAATGGTCACAAGTCATGTAGGTGATTACGCACGTTCAGCTTGGTCAAGGATGACTTTTTTCAGAGAATACCGTACCGTGTAGATTTCATCGGAGTTCGATGAAAATCGTAAAAACAAAGGGGGGACCTATGCCTTTTGTACGGACGCCTACTTAATTTAGTTTTGCCTACTGTCTCTATCATGCTGTCAGTTACAACATAATAAAATTGGAACAGAAAGATTTTCATTGCCTATTATTAGCAGATCATGTATAGAATGCACATTTCCCCATGGCCGCTGATAGTACGATTCCCGGTCAGCATCAAGAGTTAAAGGGGCACAAGGTCCTGAAATCCTCGAAAATTTCATGTTTTGGATTGTTTACTTAGCCTATTTCAAACATCTGGTTGAAAGAAAACCAACCTAATGTCTTACCGTTCCCGAGAAAAGACGAACAAACCCGCTTGTTTCCATTGGACACGACGGAGCACGAACGTTTTCCGTGTCGTTCTCAGTGTGCGATACACGTTTTGTGTCTCGGGAACAGCGGTGACCAATCACCAATGCAAAAAAAGTGGTTTCTTCAACGTCCGCAAAAAGGCGAACACTTTACTAATGAAATCACAACTAGCATCCAAATAGCGCGAAATTAGCCTATGGGGTCGCAAAAGTGCACCCCGAAATTCGTTCTCGCACGCATAATACTAGCCTTGACCAAGGCTATCAGCTTGTTCCCATACGAGCTTGTTCCCGCTACCGCACACCGCGCGCGCCGCCACACAATCACTAGTTGTACTATACCGTTAGCCTCAACGACCCTTGCGTGTGCTTTGTGTGCATGTACGTACGCCCCCCCACACACTTCCGCAAACAGCCGTACAATAAGTCGAAGCGCAAGATAGCCTTGACGCAACCGTGGCGAATTTCTTATGTGTTTCTTTATAGTTTCGACCGAAATCGGCCGAAAATTTCTGATGCGCATATATTACACGATATCCACTCAAAGCCCGTAAACTTTGACCCGCGACATACATATTCATGACCCGCAAATTACTGTATACACCACGTACATGTATGTTCACTCAAACCATGGTATGTCCAGGTATTTCAATCCCATTTTAAACCATTTCTCCAGTTTTATTACAAACAAATGAAACATGCCGCTATATGAGTGAACTATTGTTCAAAATGATACTATTTCCAATGTATTGCGAATTGGACAGTTCAAAACAGTCCGCCGACGTTTTGTCGGTGCAACAGCGTACATTATCACGCCGCTACCTGCCCGTGCTATTCTGACAGCGAATGTAGGGAACAGGTCAACTCGGACCCAGGTCAAATCATCCCCATTTAATCGAATGCAGGTTAACTCGTATCTATAAGCACCCGTATGATTTAACTGCAAGAAACGAGCTATTGACTTTGGGATGGAAATATACGAAACTGTCAGGTACATGGTGAAAAAAAACTCTCCCTGAATTCGTACCATGTGCAAATTACATCTCATACGTACGACACATGTATTTTAACGCGTACGTATGAATCGTATATGTTGTACCTAAGACATACGTACGACATGTAAGTCGTAGATGTAAATCGCACGAGATACAAGTCGTTCTCACAAGATATGTTGTATGTACGACACAATCGACAAACAAGTCAAACATACGAGTTACAATTCATATTTTGTACACACGAGATATTAAGTCGTACTTATATACGACTTTGTTGTATGCGACATATATCGTACCCTGTCGACTCGACTTATGCACGACATATATGTCGTACCGGCACCTGTCGACATTATGTCATATGTTTGATATGTCATACTCTGTCGACATAATGTCGTACCCTGTCGATGATATTAGTCGTACCCTGTCGAAATATGTCGTACCATGTCGATATATTAGTCGTACATACGACATATAACTTATAAGTTGTTCATACAAGTTAAAATCAATCTTACAGAATAAGTTTGCTGAAGGAGAGATATTTTGTTCCCATATCCCCTTGACAGCTTAGAAGAAATACCCCCCCCCCCCCAAAAAAAGTCAGCGGTAGATATACTCAATAGTGTGAGCGCTTTTTTTTGCCGCTGAACGTGAAAGCGTAGCGTGTCTTACTGCATGGCGACAGCCGGGCCGGTGCCTACAGTGGACGGCCCCAACGTGGCCTCTGTGCATGGTGGCATTGTTTTTGACGGCGTGCGGTTTTGTACCGTTTGCCGTTTTTTGAAGGTCTAATTTTTCATCCTTTTCATTTCATTTTCGATCCAAACTATGTGTAACTTTATAAATATTATTCTACTATTATTTAAGATTTTAAGGGGGTGTTTTACAATAATTATTGTTACCACAGGCCGTCTGGTTTATAAACCTTTGGTCGTACTAAATATTCATTTTTTTGTCAGCCGTTATCCAATGAGAGAAGACTATTTACCATAGCGCGTACTAATTATCATATTCGGCATACACGGTTGCGTCAAGGCTATCTTCCGCCTCGACTTACTGTACGGCTGTTTGCGGAAGTGTGTGTGGGGCGTAGGTACATGCACACAAAGCACACGCAAGGGTCGTTGGGGCTAACGGTATAGTACAACATTGTGTCGCTGCGCGCGCGGTGTGCGGTAGCTGGAACAAGCTCATATGGGAACAAGCTGATAGCCTTGGTCAAGGCTAGCATAATACAGGAATAACACAAAAACGCCCAGTTTTGAAAGGATAGTTGTGTGGATGTTTATATCCTACTTTTAAATGTTATTTCCGATTAACATCATCTCGTTCAAAGCGCGTTGTAGCCCAATTATTGGGCTGTTCCAGGACCCAGTATCCCTTTAAATTGTGTCCATGGTGTCATTGCGCTCATAAAGTTCGTTGGTCGTCCCCTGGTCGTCCCCTTGTATAATAATGGTACAGCCAAGTAAAGCATACGCGCGCGTTGCCATTTGCGCAACAGTGTATCACCATAGATATAGAACAGAACACCTAGATTTGTGCGTATCATAGATGCCGTGCGTATCACACGAACGCGCGCCCAGGATACAATGAAGTCGTCTTTGTGACGGCACGAACACATGACCGCCACGCGCGCTTCTCGAATCACGTCGCAACCACGTTGCCAAATGAAAAACAAAAACAAAGACAAAGCAACCCATTTCTGTTCTTGTTGAGCGTTCGTTCGTTACACAAGGATTTTTCGGCGGTGCATTTTAATGCGACCAAAGAGATATATTTTGCGGATTTCGTCTTGAGATAAAACAATTGACAATGATTACAGTGCTACGTGTAGTTGAGGAGCTGGCTTCGGTAAATTACCGGTAAGTTACAAAGAAATCAACTTTTTAAATTGTATTATTGACTAGGCCTACTAGTACAGAACATCCTGGCCGACAGAGGAGGGCCGGCGATTTTTTTTGTTTCAATAATTTATTAAGTGGTTCTTTAATTTTTTTTAAAATAAGGTTTACTGAGTAGCCTGTCTTGTTTTTTTTTTATAAGCCTTGGATTCAAAAAGTAGGCTTCGCTCGTACCCCCGCCCTGCAAACAGGTTTGCAGGGCGGCAAATCGTTACATTTATCGTTCATACTTTTCTTTTTAATACTCTTGACATCATCCTTGGTCCTTTTTTTTTCTTGATTGAGTTAATAGACCTACGTAAAGCGAGGTTTAAACTTCCAGTCTCTTGCCCACTGCTTTCAATTTTAAATGTCTTTGGTAAGGAGGATGTCGCTATTTTTTTCTCCAATTGTCTTTAATTATATTTTTTAGTCAATCGGAGAAAAAAACTAGCGACGCCGCATGTTCTCTTTTTTCCTCCGACAGAAAGTGGTTTTACAGCCGATGGTCACCATCTGATCGGTTGGTGAGCCCACTACCGGCGCAAACTGACCCATCACCCCTGCTGC